GGGGGGGGGGCTGGGTGGGGGGCAAGGGTGGGGCTGGGGTGGGGGGTTTAGGGGAGGGTTAGAGGGGTAGGAACCGTCATTTTTACAAACGGGGCACCGTAGGTACCCCAAACGAACTGGTGTAAGCAAATGACACTAGTAGAACTGGTGTCATTTTAGACTTACTCTCTCTCTCTCTCTCTCTCTCTCTCTATATATATATATATATATATATATATATATATATATATATATATATATATATATATATATATATATATATATATATATATATATATATATATATATATATATATATCACGCGGAGGGTCTATTGAAGAGCTGAGAAAAGTAGAGAGAAACACGAGAGTTCCAGAAAACAGAGATACAAGATCACACAACAATTTTTATATCTTAGCGTGAGGTTAAAGGGTAATTTACCTAAATAGGACTAAAACATAATGACCCTGTTTGGTAAATGGCGGTTCAGCTGGCATTTGGCATCTTTGACCATAAATGGCTAATTGGACGAGTCAAACCGCCAAATTCATTGTTTGGGTAATGGCATTTGGATTTAGCATTTAAAACTAAACTGCCAAAAAATGAAAAGCCAACTATAGGATTGTTTCATGCAGCAGGTGGCAAATTTTTTCCGTTTCTTACCCTTTAGGCTTCTCTGCAATTTTGTTTTTTACATCTAATTGTTGTAGAACCATCCAAAATTTTTTGACTCCAATTGTTCCTCCAAAAACGAAACATCAACCATAGTGGGGAATTATGCTTCTCTGCAGTTTTATCCCATGGGCCATTCTTGATTTGAGAAAAATTTTAAAACCCTAAATCACCCTTCTTCGTTTCTAAAATTAATTTATTTTTTGTTTTAGTGGTTTTTGACTTTTTCTTCTTTGGAATTAACCTCCTGGGCAAAATTCCTCTAATCAAGGATCATACAATTCATCTTTTACTTTTTATCTAATTGTTGTAAACCATAGAAAAAAACAGAATATTTGGTTGTAGTTTGTTTGAATGTGTTGGTGCAGATTCTTCATATTTGGTGCAGATTCTTCATATTTGGTTGTAGTTTATTTGAATGTGTTGGGGATATAGAAACTATAAAATATAAATGTAAATTTTCATTTCTTAAATTATAAAAAAAATGTAGTAGCCTTTTTTGTCCAAAAAAATGTAGGGATGTCCAGAGTATTTGCTTATATAATGTGCGTATTTTATGAAAATTAAAGAAAAATTAAAAATTGCATACAAATTAACATAAATGGAAGGATGTCCTTTTATGTAATTTTACTTACAAATAGCTAACTATAAACAGCTAAAGTTTCCAAACACTTAAAATTTAACAGCTAACAGAAACAACCGGTCAAAACAACTAACTCAATCAGCCATTCAAACCAGTCAACATAAATAGCCAACAGCCAGCTGCCAATTGCCAGTATCCAAACAAGGCCAATGACTTTCTCAATATAGGACCATATGTTTTTATTTCCAAATGTAGGACCATTGGTCATTATCTATTAGTCATTATTCAACTCAATGTCCAATATCAATTGAACATTATTCTTCTCACTAGTCATTATTAAGTCCTATTTAGGAAATAAAAAAGTTTAAGTCTTACATTAGGAAATGACTTATGTTTTAATCCTATTCAGTGCAAATTTCACGAGGTTAAACGCTTAGTCGTGAAGTCATATATGAGAAACATTCTTCCCAGTTGTTTGATTCATGATCGAGTGATGACACACGAGTCCGGGTGTTGAGTATTGTGTTGCCCTGAAGAAAAGGTTGAATTCACGTCCTTAGAAGAAACCTAGTGAGGATGTAACGTGTCAATGTGACATGTGCAAGCCGAGTTTGATACCTGAAGTCTTACGTAAGATTTTCTTTGTCAAAACATTAGAAGGTTCTATTGTGTTTGATCTCTGTAAAACTTACTATATATATATATATATATATATATATATATATATATATATATATATATTATTTTATATTAAATCAACTTCAATTCGAGTTACTGCTTCGAAAAATATTTGTCAAATTATGCTCTAAAATCCTACTTTTGATACCAACTAATTATAGACAATATAAATATGATTTTGTACAATAAAATGATGTTTTGACATATAAAAACATAATGTGATGCATGACGGTAAGTTCGGGTGTTAACACCCGATACTAGGCCACTATTTGTTATTAGATTTTATGATTGTTTGACTATTGATTATGATAAATTAATTATGTTAAATACTCTGAATGACGATCATGAATTGTTAAATTGAGAATAATAAATTAATAAATCATATTGTTAAGGCTACTTAGTGTAGGATCGTTTTTCTG